AATTGGGCACCTATACATAGTATGCATGGCCGATACCCTCTGTGTCGACGTTGAGTTTCGGTACAACCTAGCCAGATGGTGGCATCATCATCGCATAAGGGGCACGGTGGTGTTCATCTCTACTGTCTTTATTGGTATCCCTACCATGATCGAGGCTGACCTGAAACTTTGGGCAAGAGACTCGACTTTCCAGGACTTACCTCACCACTGCGTGCCACACAATACACAACAGTGTCTATATACAAGTAATTCATCAGACAAGAAAACTGACGAGGTATAACGGTTGTACGGGTTCAAAATAATACGGTGGTCTCAGTTCGAATGCTCATGATGAAAGACTGTCGTTGGCACGCCTGTTGAAACCACAGGGTAGGTGACGGTGATAGGACATCCCTGTATCTCTGGGGGTTTGAACCATTCGGACGGACCAACTACCAACCCGAACTTTGGCCCTCATGATGCCGCTCAATTCTGGATTTCGCAAGAGAGTTTCACGCTCACGTTCTGTTTAAGAAGGAGGGGGCAGGTGAACAAAATGTGGAGGCTAGTTGTGTATTTTGTTTCCTTATAGCCTAAGCACAAGTGCACCAAATTAGACGCACCGACATCATCAACCAATATGAGGAGGAGCGTCCAAAAGCAGCTTCAGTCAACATCTTTGCTTGTTATTTGTTTCCTTTGAAAGAGATGAGATCATGAGAGACACCAAACAAGGGGAATAGAGGGGTGGAAAAGACAAGATCCGAGGGGTCCTGGTTCGAGTAAGGCGTCAGGGATCTAAAACAAACAAGAGGGAGAGGGAGAAAGAGCAAGAGGGCCCATCAATAGCAGCCATTGGCCTCCAATCGGTCCATGCAAGCACTTTACGCGCGGCACGTTCAGCCGGCGTTTAGTCCAGACGGGGAGACTGACACCATGACCCGGGCCAATTCTTTCCCCTCCCTCGCATTGGCTTGTCTCGCTTTGCCTTGCTTTATTATCCGTATACCATCCAAGTATGTTTCTGCTCTGTTTTGGCTCATAGGAGTGATCTGATCTCATATGATCTTTCGTTGAAAATTACGCCTCCGTGTCCACGGTGTTCTGTGGCGGCGTTAGAATTTACTTCGCTTTGTTTGCGGGGCTCATGTTCGCTCGAGCCTCGCTCGTGCAGTCAATCCTTGAGCGGAGTCGGGGACTGGCTGAGCTGGGCTGAGCTGAGCTGAACCACATTGAACAGGGCTCAGCTGTGGTTGCGGCCGTGGCCAGGGCTGCGGCGGATGCGGATTTCCCCTTTGTTATCTCATGTGTCAGTTTCATGTGCACGAGGTGTATGCAGTACACGACTCGCAGTATTGATGTCCATTTCAAGGCCTCCCACCGTAAGGCTTACCGATTGGACAAACTGCCGCTCGTTTCGTTGGGTTTGTTCCCTCAAACTACATGTTCAAGCCTAGAACTTCCGTAGCCAGCGCTACCACTTCACAAGCCCATGCTCTCACAGTCCCTGCAACTCATGCTATAGCGTTTCGTTGCCTGTTTGCCTTCTGCATTCGTCTAAAAACTCTCTCCAGCTTTGAATTGGCACTTCTCTGCTCATTATGCCTCAGAGTAAGCCAAGTGGCGTACCCAAGGTTGATGCTGGCTGTGTTGAGGCCTGGAAAGTTCGAAATTTTAACAAGTATCATCTTATATATACTCCAGATACAAAAACAAAAAAAGACAGAGAACGATTCGTCCGTGGAATTTATGTGGATCTGTTACTTGCTAGGCTATGACGACTTGTGTCATGGACTTTCATGGGAGGACTCCCGCTTCAACACCTGGCAACAAGACAGGCACCAGCCGGAAAATAGGAGAACAGAGGCCTTTTTGGCTGAGTGTTTACCAAGAAAGAAACATTTTGGAGATCATCTGGAGTATTGTGCATTGCTGGGATTTTAGGATTTGTTGTTTTTGACCGATGCTGCAATGAGTGGCACCGTCAGACTTCAGGATATTCTTCTGTCTGTGAGAACACTTGAGAAATAAACGTATCTACGAGCAGGATGGCCCATGACCTGATTAATGTTCAGGCTCACCTTAGGAGATGTATACATGGAGGTATATCATCAAACCTGGTGGTGCTTGCAAGACCATCCACTCTGGCTTTAATGCCGCTCAAGTCAACTGATACCTTTAGGCTGACAGTGATCACAGTAACTCAAACAGTAACAATATTGAGATTGAATTGACAGTAATCGGTTTTATGTATGTATAGGCCGTGCTGGATTGCGTACCATGAGGTTCTGAGAATGACAAACGCTTCAATATCATGGGTTCTGTTGATATCGTTGCGTGGTGGTAAGACCATTGTCTCGCCAATCTCCCGGGCTGAGCCTCCGTTGCGAACAGCAGAGTGAGACCGAGCTGGTCTGATACAAGAGAAGGACATGGAAAGAGATGCGCATTGGAATATAAGGTCACCATATGTAATGTTGTGGACTGACCTGCCCCTCAACGAAACTCGACGATGACGCTGAAAGCGTCAACATGATGGGGAGAGACAAAAGTTTACTTGAGCATATGCGAAGAAAAATCTTGTGTCGTGACAAGGGAAACTTAAAGTCAACCGTCATGTCGAACCTTTTATCAAGGAGCATTTAGTGGCTACATAATTACAGTGATAAAGTGAAAGATCGATCTGATGGATGGGTTGTGGATGGACTGCCACAACATTCGTGGTGGTTACAGCTTCATGCCCACACTCCACGTAGGCACCACAACACAAACCTACACCAGATAGTGACCCTGTATGAAATAGAGATAAACTCATAATATGCCACCTTATAAATGGTCCCTAGTAAGAAGCGATACTGTTGTTCACTGTCTCATGGTTGACATGCGATTTGTACAAGGTCTGAGTAGAGCCTTTCGTATCGACAACCTAGAAGAAGATTAACCTGGTACTGACTCACTGTTTCTTGTGCGTTTGGCAAGAGAAAATCGTAATTTTGATTCCTTCCATCCGGTTTGATAAGGTGTTTCATGAGTCCTTGTCCTCACGTTGATGAAAAGTATGGCGAATATAGACTTTCGAACCGCAAGATCCGACTTTAGCCATAGTATATGGAGGGTATCTTGAATCAATAGATCTTGTGGTACTAGAGACTGTTTATGGCTTTACTGGGTCGACATCTGAAATGGTCAAGTTGAACACAACGTATATCGTTCAAGTACATGTGTAGAACTCGCAAATGGCTCAGGATGCATTGAATAGCCTCATGTAAGAACATCGAGGAATGAAGTCATCCCACTATAGTGAGAACATAAGTGTTAAGCTCAGATAGAACATATGTATCATGCCCGTTGATGTGGTGCTCATGCCTATCGTTGCTTCACCGAGGCCCAATATTAACAGGACCTTCGTCTCAAGTCTCCCAATGAGGTCACCACGTGTATGTTTAGACAGTCAAAACATCCAGGTTCTCGAATGAGGGGATTGTAGTCAGGTGACAAGGATGTGTCTATCAAAGATCCAATATGAAGACGCCCTACAACCGATAAGGTGGATGCTGATACAACCAGAGTCCTTAACGTGGTCCATATCGATATTTGAAACGCACCAGGAAGCTTTTGCCCGACTCCAATAACGATCTCGATGCTGACACCTAACAATGCACTAGATGCTTCACTTATTCGACTCGTCTCAGGTGAGAGTTGGCCGTGATATTGCATGGCAATCCGCACATTGAACAAAGTTAAGAGCATGCTCTATATCTGACAATATAGGAGAGACAAAGTAACCGGGCGACGCTTGCACATTCAAACGTCGAACGCCTTATGTAGGAACCCGTGTTAATGTCTTATGTTAGCCCTGCAAGCGCAGCCTCACAAAGACATCTATCTCACCCAAAGTGCAAATTGACAAGACATGAATATGCTGGAGTAAGACGAGAGAGATTATTGCCAGCTCATCAAAAACCTGCACTTTACCGCTCAGTCTCAGTCTCACGAATAGAGCATCGCCCAGTCAATTACCAGCCAGCAAATGACAAGACTGGATGAATGTCACAGAGGCGTGAGTGAGTGAGTGAGTGAGTGAGTGGTCGGATCCGCGGCATTGGGAGGACCCCTTGTAGTGTGACGTCGTGTGCATAAACAGGGGGTGTTTACGATGCAGATGCAGATGCAGTGAAGAAAGACTCCTCTATCGTATTTGGGGGAACTAATAGGATCAAATCCTCAAATCCTGCTTCGCCTCGTTGAGGGGGACGGCAGATGGAAGATGTATTGCTCAAGAAGGCTTATACTCTCGGTCTGGACCTGATTGATTCTCTCGTATCAGTTCGTCTCTTCATTCATTCACTATCATCATCTCCCTGCATGTATATCCCTCAGAGATCGACAATATCGCCTAAGCCACTGACTGACCTGTAACTTATCGGTCTGGGTTACGGTATTTTACTCATAAATCGACAGTGTCTCCCTCGGATGATCTCCATTCATTCCCCCAAGAGCAATTGTCAATTCCGTTCATCGTGATAGCCCCGTCGTGTTTCCGTCTTCTTGTACGTCATAACCTACCCAGTCCTCTTCAACAAGGACATCCCTGTTAGGTCTTTATAAGCATCAGCACCAGCACCAGAAGCACACTACAGTGAAAAATACCAGAGTCTTCCAAGTGCTTATAGAAGACAAAGTCCAGTTAGTTTCTTGTTGAGTCGTGGGTCCTGCTTCAGGTACAATCCTTACAGAACCCCCTCATCTGGCGCGACTGAGGACTGACTCTGACTCTGACTCTCCAACGTTAGAACGCTGGTCCTTGTCCAACAGAAAGAAAATTTGCTTCAGATCACCAAATAACAACAAATAAAACCCAATCGGGCACAAATCTTACCGCTGGAGTTGTGCCCTCCCTTACCGAGACTTATATATAACACTTTGAAACTTCAACTAAGTGAGACATACATACATACATACATACATACATACGCATACAGATCACTACCGGCACTAGCACTAGCAAGTCTTGGCCCATCATGCAGAACTCTCCTCGCTCTGGATCCTTCGAACGTCGCAGTTCTGTCCATGATAGAATGCCAAGCCCCTCTCCCATCCGATCGCCACTGTCTAGGAGCCGTACCCCTTCACCCTCGCGTGGTCGATCACAAGCACCTCGTGAGAGGCCTTCATCTCGCATGGTATCGCGCTCTAAATCACGAGCAAGACTCTCGTCTCGATCCAGCTCTCGCTCACCATCTCGTCGCTCCAAGCGCAGCGACAACCATCATCACCATGGGCTCTTCAAGACCACAGCTGGCCTCCTAGCTGGTATTGGCGTCGCTGCTGTTGTAGCCCATAAGGTCTGGCCCAAGGGTGTTCTGTACGGTGATCATGAAGACTGGGAGCATTCTTCCAAGCATCACCGGTCAGACCGTCCTCACCATCGCCGTCGCCGCTCACTCGAGAATGGTGAGCGTGTGGTTGAGCGAACAACTCGACGTCGTGGCGATGCTGTCTACTACGAAGAGGTTGATCGCAGGCGACCTCAGAACTTTGAGCGAATGCCACGGCCTGAGTATGAGAGGATGAGGCAGCCTGTTGAGCGATTGCCATATCCTGCTGATGATCACTATGTTCAGCCCCAACCAGTCTATGCTGAGCGGAGGAGGACCGTGGTCCAGCCTGCCCCAATGCACCCTGAGTGGTGGCATAGCCTGACAATGGGATGAGTTTTCATCCATTTTATTTATTCTGCTGTCATTTATGTCTATTGGGTGGTTTGGATGGAATTGAATTGCACTGCAACGGAGTTGGCTGAGTGTTCATTTGGCAAATTTTACGACTTTTATGCTACATGAGACAATGATTCGGCGTTCAGATACACATGGGGTTGATTTATAAATATATATTTTCAAAATGTGTTCTATAATATGCGTAGTTCTGAGACTATGCCATGCAATCACCGGTGAGAGACTCCCCAAAAACCAAGCCTGCCGTCCTATATGCGTATGTATCGTGATCCTTGCAACTCAATTCGCGTTTAGCATATACCGCACCACCCACTCAGGGTTCTGCCCTCGTTAAATGCTTGATGCTGGCGAGGACGGCGGTGAACTGTTGGGTAGACTCCCTGTTGTCTCCCTTGGCGCGGTTCTCTCCACAGCATCCTGCCAGCCCTTGCCGGCGGTACGTCTCACAAAGACCGTGTTGAGGGTGTCTCCAAAGTACCTCTCACGACGTGTAGTTCTCCTCTCCCCCCCTTCCATAGCCGAATATGCACTGCGTGTCGTGCGCATCCTCTTCCGCTTACCCCCCTCGCTTAGGAGGTTACTCAACTTAAGCCGCTCTTGCATCAGGTTGTTGTCAAACTCCACGATCCCGCGTACCCATGGCGCCACGTCTACGACGATGAGTTTTGTGGTCCTGTCAAACACTGATGGGTCAAGATAACTGGCCGCCGACAACTTCTCATTTATGGCAATAGGATCGAATGCACACGCAAGGTCCATGCGGCTCAGCGGCGCGGTTTGAGGCTCAAATGAGTGGTCAAGGGACTCAACCACTCGCTTCTCTGTGAGTGGTTCGAGGAGTGTCTTGGGAGTGTTGAGTTTGGATGAAGCATGCATAAGGCTTTGCCTTGCTAGGGATTTGAGAGACAAGGAGAGGTTGACACTCGATGAGGATTGCATCACCTTGGGGTCTGCCTCAAGAAGACGGCTTCCGATGATGAAATCGTCTCGCATCTTGATTGGCATTTCTGGCAGTTCCGGATCGATCATCTCCTGGAATCTGATCCCTAAAGTGCCGCTTGTCAATAGATCTGCATCGCTCATTGAGGTGCAGAATTCATCAAAGGCTGCAAGTGCCTCAAGCCTCTGGCTTCGTTGCGATACTTGTTGAGAGACACCGTCGGCCCACGACGGCAAATCCAGTGTAGTGTTCCACTCGCCCATGTCTAATGCCCAGGAGTCCCATGACTGTTTCATTGCTTCCTCCTCTGAGTCCAATGGATCAGGGCAGGTGGCGATCAGGTCACGGCTAATCCAGCCTAAGCCCTTGCAATAAGTGTCCTCACTCAGCACTCGTACTACATCGCCGTTTTCGTCTAGGTCGGTCCCTTTGGGCCAGCGCAGGCAGAACCAGTCGAATCCTCCCTTGCGATCCCCGACCCCGATTTGGCACCAGTAGTTGAGTTCTGTTAGCGAGGACCTGAGGTCGTTATTTCTAGACTTGTACAAGGCCTCGACAGCTGTGCGTCGTAGAATGTGCCCTTCGTTAGCTGCGGCGAGCAGACAGAGGTCGACAGCGAGATCCATAGGGGGAGGTGCGAATCGGAAAATGCCATGGAGGTTAAGGCTCTGGAGAGGCACTAGGCTTTCGTCGTTGCAGGTCATAATGAATGGTCGTTTTGATTGTGCCATCATTCCCATCAGTGTTGCCCAAAATTGCTTGTCCTCCTCATATAAGACGTCAACTTCTTCCAACAGAATTAATGACTGCTTCTGGCTCTTAGCCGAGCTGGCTTTTGTTGTTTCGGGCAACTTCTCCTCGGCGGGTTTCTTGGCGGGTGGTTTAGAGACTCTCGACTTTTGGAAAAAGGCAGTCATCGTGCCTTGCTTCCCGGACTTCAAATCCCGAGAAGTCTCATCTTCGTCCGTGGTTCCAGAACCGGGATCTGCGCGGTGTTGCTGAACAAGATGGTTCCGTGTCATGTCGCCAACCTTCTCCAAGATATCTTTGCCGTTGCGTCTACTTGCAGAGTTGATTTCGAATATTTCGAACCCCAATTCTTTGGCTATTGCGCAAACTGTTGCCGACTTGCCACACCCGTGAGGACCACTGATAACCACAGCATTCGTTGGTCTTCCCTGCTCCGTTCCGGTGTTACCATTTCGAACAACTGTCTTCTTCAGCAATCCTGAGCCGGCAGGTGCCCAATCGTCCTCGTTTTCAGAGATCTCATCCATCTCGTTTGCCTCCTCTTCGCTACTGACAATGAAATCATCTAGCTCATCCTTCTTTCTCTTCTTTTTCGGTGCTGGTTTTGTTTTTGACTTTCCCTTGGCTACTGTATTATCGGCTGTTGTAGTTACAGACTGAACTTTCAGTGTTTGTAGCCAGTCCCTTAGTAGGAGGGCCTCTTTTCCAGCCTGGAGAATCTCTGATGCTGCAGTTGGAGCGTACTTCTGCGTCCAGGTCAGAGATTCACACGTTGATCTATCATATGCAGAAAGGCTAGTCTCAAGCATTTCGTATAACCGGGTGACTGCGGGATGTGTTCTTCTTGGAGAGACCTCGGATGTGTCGCACATCATCACGTCATCATTATCGACGGTACTCGCCATCCGTAGGGTCCTGAGTTCTGACCGGATCCGTTCTTGAAGTTTTCGTCCACTTTCAAAGTGCCGGCAAGGCGTTCGTAGTTCCTTGGGCGCGGGTTCAAAACTATCGTGGTTCCTAGGAAGTGATTCTCGGAGAGCAGCAAGATCCATATTGGCGCAGAACCTGCCCAGCACAGACTCGTCGGGGGTGATTGTGACCGTAGATCCTTTGGACTTTTTATCCATATGCTCGCCGGATGACAATGAGGCAGGATCAAGTTCGAGATCAAAGCCACGAACATGAGCCATTCCCTTCGCTGGCCACAGAGGCTGCATAGCCCCAGGCACCCTGGTTACGCCAGTCTTGACGCCAAACCGCGGGGGTTGCTTGTTCACGATAAATGGGTTGCGAGGCTTCTTAGGAGACATTGGCGTGGACATGAATACTGTCTGTCGTGCCAAAGATGGCTGCCCTTTGGGAACAGATTGGCTTTCCGTTTTCGTGTTTTGCTTTGCCTTCCCAGTAAAGAATGGGTGTGTAGCCGTTGACATATCCTCTATTTTGGCCATGCAGTCCTCTTTTGCCTTCCTTCCTCTTCTCTTCGGCGGTGTTGGTGGGAACAATATCTTGCCTTCCAGGATCTGGGTTATCTTATCCCCCATATCTTTCCGGTTGGCTTCGTCACGTCCATATTTCATGCATACCATTCGAGATGGGGGGCTCTTCGATTTGGGCTTTGGGGGCGATCCCAATGTCCCTGTCTTCGGGTTCCATTTTAGTACTTTGCCCTTGACATTGGGATCCATATTGCTCGAAGGATTGGATTGTGAAGTGGCCTCGGCGGGTTTTATAAATGGGATACTGATCGGTTCGGGTTCCGGTTTGGTAGACACGGGCTCTTTCAACTTGATTCCAAGACTCTGCTCAATAGTCGCGTTCGAGTTACTTGAAGCTGCGTCGCCCTGGCGTTTTCGTCGTGGTCTCTTCGGTCCAGGCGCATCTTGTAGGAGAGACGCGTCGGCCTTACGACGTCTTCTACTGTTTTGAGCTTCTGGAACTGGCTCAGCGTCTTCGTGAGGAGTTTCGCTGCTCAAAACTTTAGGCGATGATTCTGCGCTGTTCGGGGGGTTGGCAACGTCGGCAGCAGGACCTTTAGTAAAGAAAGGGTGGACTTTCTTCACCTCAGGTTCCCTCATGCCTTCCTGGGCCATCCTCTCGACCAAGACCGATCCCATTGATGCGTCGAAAGCTGCGGTAGTTGCGGTGTCAGCATGCAACGAGCTGGAGATTTCGATGTCCTAAGCACCTTTAAGCTTGACGTTAAACCACCATTTCACGGATGCAACACCGCAATATGGATTCTTAGGATGGCAGAAAGAAACAAGGTTTAGTAAGCTTTTATAGTAATAGAGAATAAGATTCCAATGCTAGGCGAGCCTTTGTCTTGATGCGAATGAACTGAAAGCGTTGCCCGTGGATATAGTGGAATAAAGAGCTTAGCCAGGGTACGCGTTAATGGAAATGGTAGAAACCACTGAACGCGTCGATTCGCGCTAGATACGTACCTTCGCTTCTAGGTATGTCAGGGATCATTTTTGGTGGCAGGCGTTTGAGACCCACTGATCCCCACCAACGGAATTTGTTTCGGCCCGCTCCAACTTTTTTTTTTTGTGAAGCTTCGCCTGTCGATCGCCAAAGGAAAAAAGTGCAGGTCGAAAGTCTAGATACAACGAATTGTATCTCTTTCAGCCCACGGTATTATTCACCATTACAGTACCGTAGTCGCCATGGCTTCCGAGTATAGAATACACAAGCCATTTGTGCTGGCGACCCTCCCCCGACCCTTGGACCATACTGAAGGCCGCATCGTTGCGCGGGAGGTATATGGCTTGCGCGATGGTCAGAAGAAGAGAAAGAGGACAGAACTGGTTGTTGGTGTGGACGGAGAAACTATTAGCATCTACGATGTATGATTTCTCACCAGATTTTGGGTAGGCTGTTGCTGACTTTGCACAGGTTCCGGCTTCGAGATTGATCACTTCTTATCCTATTCCTCCTCAAGAATCTTTTACCTGCGCTCCTTACTCGGTCAGAATCCGACGAGCTGGATCCAACGACGTTTCCCGATACACATATGTCTCTACCCGCGATTCTAGAGGCCAGAATATCACTTTGTTTAAAGATGTTGTCCACCAGGATGGCAAGACTACCTCCACAACGACCGCCTCCCCCGTTCTGAAGTCTTCAGCTGTTCGATACTTGACATGCTCTTCCAGTGTGTCAGAGACCTCTAGTACTGGCGATATGATTGCAGTCTGCGAAAATGGAGAGTTCATTTCACTTTCCTCCGAAACCCTTGCGATCCAGTGGACCTCACCCTCCAAGTCTGCATTGCAGGAAGCTATCGCTACCCAGATCGAGAGCTTCGAGGTGGACTACGTTACCTCGGGCACGCTTGCCGAGTTCAGCGAAGGGATCTTCAAGGATAAGCCTGAGATATTCAGTGCGCTACCTAAAACACCTGCTTCTGAGCCAGAGCTGGTTGCGTTCGTGTCCAAGACATCGAGCCAGAGCCAGGAGAACCGTCACTTGGTTGTTCTCGCTGTCGCCGCAGGCACCTCGACAACGTCTGACATTCAGAAGCTATCACCTCTCGAGATCGCTCCCATCGGTACTCCCTCGCCCCGTGGCACTGATAAATCCACCTACCAAATTGATGTGCAAGCAGCTTTGCTCATGCAGCTACAACAAGGCGCTCTTAATATTTACGACCTTACCACTCCTGTTCCGAAGCTCAAGTCTGTGGTGCATATGGAGAACGCTGTATCTTTCGCTCGTTTGTCTCGGCCATTTGTCTTGTCGTGCTCGCTTGAGTCAATCAGTCTCTACAACCACCAGTATAGATCCATCCATGCCAATGGACCACTCGATCTTTCCGAGGTCCTTGAGGAGGATGAGAAGCCCCAGTCGTGCCAGTTGATTAGCTACCTGCGAAGTCAGGAGCTAGCCGTGGCCCTGATTGACAACGTCCTGGTCTCAATCCAGATCGAGCCCCCTAAGAGCCACGGCAAACGACGCAAACAGGGTCTTCTGATCGACTCTATTGGTCGTGGAACGGCCACTGAAATCCCAGCGAAGAAGGCCAAGACTGACAAGCTATCAGCAGACTTCTCCAAATATGTCCCTGGCTCGATGACTGAGCAATACATGAATAAGCTTCGCAAAGAGCTCGAAGTTGCAGATGCGCATCTTACGAAGGGTGACCTTGGGGAGTGGGAAGGTCTCCTACGGAAGAGGTTTCGGGTGGGCCTTCGATCGACGAGCGAGAGCATCGATGCAAAGGAGAAGGACGCCCAGGAACTTCCTGAATGGGAGTGGCACACAGGAGGCGACTCATACACTGTTGTGGATCGACGCTGGGTACTCTATGCGATTGGGCGAACCTTTTCCATCTCTACAACCGAAGCACCGGAATCACGACCTAAGCTGCAGCTGATTCTACCCGACACGAACGTCACATCCTACTTGGTTGTTGCTGGGCACCTGACCCTCTCAAATTTGAAGGCCGCATTCAGAGAAGAATTGGATGTGGAAGCTCTCGACAGCAAAACCATTGTTAAAGACCTTCTGACAAGCTTGACTGATGCTGACCCATCCATGACGCTGGTGTTAAATTACCTTCAAGCTACTCAACTTGGCGAACTGGAGCTACTTCTGGCTATCCGAGCTTTGATGCTTAATCTTGACCTCATCGCTGATCCCAAGAAGCCAGCTACCAATAAGCTTTTGAAAGACGAGGCACATGACGGGGCTGAAAACTACGAGATGGACCTTGACGATCTTGAGAGAGACATTGCGATCACGGAGTACTACCTTGGAGATGATAGCAGCAGTCGTTCACGGGGACTCACGTTGGCTTTCGCTAAGCTATGGCGGCTCCCAGCTGTTACCACGGTCAAGGCCATCCGAGCTACGCTGAAGACGGAGGAGATACTGTCGCTAATCTACACCCTACGAGTGGAACTTGTCCGAGGTGCGTGGACATCGCTGTACATCGACCCAACCAGCTTTGACTCCGAGGGTAACGACCCGCCCCCGGACGGTGTGATCACTCTGATCTCGGACCTTCTCGGTCGGTGTATTGATGCAGTCGGCGCTGGAGGATGGTTGTTGAACGATGCCATCTCAAGCGATAGATCTGAGACAGGCGATCTGTTGACAGCACTCAAGCTTGAGGTGACTGCGGCTCTCGAAGGCCTGGAGGAGGCTGTGTACCTCAACGGCATCGTTGGCGAGGCAGTACGGTTCGGCCTCGCATCTCAAAAGAGCGGCGCCGGCCGACAGCCATGGAACACAAACAACCCAGTTCCCATGAAGTTGGAGGGTCAGGAATCTCGAATGCTCCCGTTGGGCCTCAAGACGAAGCAACTGCCAACCAAGAGCAAGGTTGTGTCGGGCGGCGAAGTGGTGCAGCGAAGCACCCGAGAGACAGGCCAGCTGATCAGCCGCAAGGTGGAGGCATACTCACTCGAGAAGCTAACAATCTAGAGTTATGGAGAAAAGAAGGTCTTCGAAGAAGGCAACCAGAAGAATGCGCTACGGAGGCTCTCATCTGGAAGCACGTTCCCGGTCTGCGACACCACATGGTATGCGGCTGAAAGATTGCAGTATTCATTCTGAAGCCAACGGAGCTAGTCCTAGGGCCTTGCTTATGTTGGAGGGGTTCCAGGATCGAAGAGTCTATTGGAAGAACATAGGCGAGCCTACGCCCAGGAACCGTGGTGAAGCATAAAGAGACGCGGGGCAGAGCTCAAAGCTAAGGAGATCGGCTACCCACGGCGCACGTTGGAGCCAAGAGGGGAGGGGAGGGGGTAGGTGTTAATGTGTTAATTAGGATCACATGTTGATGAGATTTTGGGTTATCAGACAAAGATGTTTGTTTACAGCGATATTGTGAGGTCAGCATAGCAGAGTTCGGTGGCTGCATATGGCATCTCATCTACCGATGCAGTTGCAGAGAGATAGAGACAGGCGTATCAAAAGAAAGGATGGTTTAATCTCGGCGTCACGGACAGAAACGTGCAACCAAGCTCGACGGAAGTTGCTCACTGCGTGACATGCAATGCAATAACTACTGGCTTTGAGAAAAGGCAACCGCATAATGCTGTTGCCAGTGGTGAATGTTTCAGAGGCGTCGGGATATTGCGATGAACCACAGAGTACCATTGAGCGGCTGTGGCACCTGAACACCTAGCAAGTTTGGATTGTGAGGGAATCGGCCTTTCGTTAAGCCCTGCGCTGCGGTTACGTGCAGCCAGCGTGGTGGTTCATCGTCCATTGATTCTTTGGGACATGACGTGCTGATCTCTTACGGGAGTGAGTCACCGCGTATCATGGGCTCATGGAGACCTGAAAGTACAGTACAATCGGATATCAAAGCCTCGAAAGTATGGATGACTCTCGAATGGCTGCCTGTTTCTTTACCCGAGCCCAGTGTTGGCCTTGACTTTACGTTACGAGCACAGCCTGGAAATGGGCCAAAGCTCATCGCGGAAGCACTGCCGGCATGGAAGGGTTGTGTAGCTAATGCATGGAGCCGAACTAACTTAGTAACTACCAGATGATAGATGGAAGGCTTACACGGCTTGAAAGAAAGGCTGCAGGTAGCCGAAGACGTGTTCAATAGGAGTGGAGTGCATGGATCGAATCATGTTTGCTAATATTTATGCATTAGTCTAGTTGGAGAAAAGAGATAAGGAAAAAAAAAAAAGGATTTTTTTCCCCCAGCATGAGAGCCCTGCATTGTAGATCGATTTCGGTTCATTCGGTTGGTGGAGATGAGATGAGACGAGATGTATGTAAGAACCCATTGATAGTGGAGAATCGCAGCAAAAGCGACGTTCTCACGAGGACATAAACTAGAGGCGAATGAGGAGCGCATTGCGAAACTTTAGTCAGGTTCTAGAAGGAAAACGGATGACAAATGGAGAAAGCCGAGAGACTAACTTAGTACCTAGAGACTCCAGAGTCCAAGGCCCCAAGCAGCTACAACGTAGCAATAAGCCAAGAGGCCGAGGCCGAGTACGAAGACGCGACTGATGATGATGATGTCGGCCTTTACCGATGATGTATACGTATCCATCAAGTTATTCCCAGCAGCAGCAGCAAGCAAGCAAGCAAGCAAGCAAGCAAGCAAGCAAGCAAGCAAGCAAGCAAGCAAGCAAGCAAGCAAGCAAGCAAGCAAGCAAGCAAGCAAGCAAGCAAGCAAGCAAGCAAGCAAGCAAGCAAGCAAGCAAGCAAGCAAGCAAGCAAGCAAGCAAGCAAGCAAGCAAGCAAGCAAGCAAGCAAGCAAGCAAGCAAGCAAGCAAGCAAGCAAGCAAGCAAGCAAGCAAGCAAGCAAGCAAGCAAGCAAGCAAGCAAGCAAGCAAGCAAGCAAGCAAGCAAGCAAGCAAGCAAGCAAGCAAGCAAGCAAGCAAGCAAGCAAGCAAGCAAGCAAGCAAGCAAGCAAGCAAGCAAGCAAGCAAGCAAGCAAGCAAGCAAGCAAGCAAGCAAGCAAGCAAGCAAGCAAGCAAGCAAGCAAGCAAGCAAGCAAGCAAGCAAGCAAGCAAGCAAGCAAGCAAGCAAGCAAGCAAGCAAGCAAGCAAGCAAGCAAGCAAGCAAGCAAGCAAGCAAGCAAGCAAGCAAGCAAGCAAGCAAGCAAGCAAGCAAGCAAGCAAGCAAGCAAGCAAGCAAGCCATGATCCTTGAGGCCTGTGATGAAATGATAGACAGGAGTCGAGCAAGCTGAAACACTTGATCACCTCTTGTGCATACATGAGGTAGGTAGGTAGTGAGTGACATGCATGTCCCTCTCCGGGTAAAGTAAAGTAAAGTAAAGTCAAGTCAAGTCAAGGGACCCTGCGACCCGTTTGTGCTCAGTTCGTCATTTCGGCCTGGGAGAGTTTCTTGATGCCGCTAAATCAAATCAGGTTTAGGTCTACGAGAGTGCCCCACGTTGCGCCCCGTTGCCGAGCGGGTGGCGCAGTACAAGACCCAAGAGGCAAAAAATACGCTGGGAAAACGGGTTTCTCTCGTAAAGAAAGGGACAGAGCCAATTACTTGAGCGTCAGATATCAAACTGAAACGAGAGCACCCAAACTCGAGAGGGTGTAGGTACTGTACAGCTGGCGATCTAATTCCAGCATCAAATTCCAGTTGCGAACCCTGCAGCGACAGAGATCTCCAGAGACCAGCCTTGCAAATGCACAAGCGATGATGTAAGGCTGTTAGCGTAGACAGCGGCTACCTACGTCACTAGACCCAGGACAAAGACCGGGGGTCGGTCCCCACTGCTCCCCGGAATTAGGGTGCGGTTACAGGGGCCTTGCCCATTGATTGAGGAATTTCTCTGCTGCTTGGGAGACAACAATGAGAAGATGAGAGGAGAGATGCAATGAAATGGATTGTAAACACGAGGATGAGCCAGTGAGATCATCATCACACGAGTGTTCATGCTGAGCAACACTGAGAAACATACAATTGCCCACCAAAAACTTGGAGCGTATAGCCACGAGGACGGTACCTAAAGTCACCCACCATCAACATCACCACCACTTACTTACCTTACTTACTTGTACAGTCACTCACTCACTCACTGTAACAATTACGGCTGTCTAAGCCCGAAATCTACACACCCACACACAATCCCCATCAAGTGATGGCTGTTCCTCTCTCTGCTCCTACGCCTCTTCCGCGTGCCTGTTCCAGCCAAACGGATACTTGCTACCTAGGTACGTCTTTGTACCTCTCCCCCCAACCTTCATCTGGACTGGACTGAACTGGACTGGGCTTCCATCTCATGGATCCATAACCTGATAAACTATCCCCTCCATCTTCTTCTACCGTCGCATCCAATCTTCCCTTTTTTCCCGTCCCGTCCCAACCCTTCTACTTTCCTTGCAGCTCTCTTCCTATTTATCCTGGAAAAATATTTACCTGCCTTTATTTACTTGGCATCCACCCAAGTCTTGCACTTTAACAGCACAGCTATCTCTCTACAATACTAACAACCACTCGGGAGCGCCCACTCTTCTAACCTCTCCAACGGCGACTCAAAATTATACTATACAATACTATACTATACTATACTATACTATACTATATTACACATTTAGCTCACAACTCTATCGAAGCTCGTCTGAGCTCAAACAACAAGCCATGAGCGGCGGCTCAACCGTCCAACGCATCGATGCTCTCGATGCCTTCGCTCGAACCCTCTACCTTCGCGCCAAACAATCAGGTCTTCCATTTACCGACGTCGCGACTGCAGTTCGGAATCTGCATATAGCCCTACGACATCTGCGCATCGAAGCAGCCGACCAAGATTCTGTTCTCAGCAATGTCCAAGCCTCGTCCTCGTCCGTCTACAGTCGCCAGCTCGAGCCTCTTGTCGATGACTGTGAATTCACCCTCGGCCAACTTGAGCGTCATCTGGATAAGTATGGCGACGGCCGCGCTGTCATGCCAGAAGATGAGCGCCAGCGCGATCAAGAACTCTCGGTCATCAAGCATAAACTGGCTGGGGACAAGACTAGTGTAGAGATGTTTCTCGACGCCGTTCAGCTGCATGCCGAGAACAGACCCACCAGGGTTGTCGAAGGCCAAGAGGGACTTGAGGGAATCAAGGATGTCGTTGACGAAATCGCCACTAAGCTATTCCGAAACCGCAATGAGGCCAGTTTTACTGAAGACGAGGATGATCTCTGGCGCGAGTTCAAGATCGAGCTCGAAGATCAAGGGTTTTCCCCTCAAGTGCTACGCAAACACAAAGTACGTGTTGATCAAATCTCCCTTGTAGATCGTTACGACTAACACAGCGTCAGGATGTTCTACGAGCATACGTTCGCGAGCTCGAGTCCGTTCAGAACCAGTACGGCGGTAACTATCCCACTGTGAGGGGTCTCTTGGAGCATGAAGCAAGATCACAGCCCACCTCTCCCCAAGAGCTTGACAGCAGTCCCTACAGAAAATATCCACCTGTTGTTATTACTGGTGGGCGAGGGAGGTCGAACAGCGACACCGCGAGAGAACCTATTTCGTCGTCCCCAAGAGATGCCGACAATGAATCTGACTACTCGATGGCAATGGTGTCAACCCAGGATCTCCTCGCCATGGATAACCTAAACACGCGAATGGCAAATCTGAATGTCCAGGGCCATGACCAGTACAGTTTGTCTCCCGGTCATAGACAGATGCCACCAAACAGTTTGCCAGATGTCCCAGAGTTGTCGAGTTCTCCAATCACACGCCACACAGAGTCATCTCCACGCTCCATGCCCCCTATGCCTCATTATATCAATAGCGGGTCCCCTTCTTACGGTAGCAGTCCACGGAGCAGCGCTCCTCGACTCGCTCCCGACCGATGGGGTAATGAGATCCCTCCTGATGCCCAGTGGACCAGAATTAGACGGGAGCTAGTTAGCCCCGAGGTCCTTGAACGAGCTGGTGTGCGCTATGAGGCTCGCCCAGACTACGTTGCAGTCCTGGGCCGTTTGACTCGGGAACAAGTGTCCGAGTTCGCCCGTGAAAGTGCTGCCTGTCGAGCTGCTCGTTCACGACGTGGTCCTCCGCCTCGCAAGCACGACCACCACTCTGAGCGGCGAGATTCGAAGAGCAGCCGGGAAGACGATGATGATGATAGCGGAGTTTTTGACGAATCCGATATCTCAGACGATGAAGAAGACAAGTCGTCTGATAAAGGAACCAAGAGTTATCCGTATATCGTCAGTCCTCCCACAAAGAACCCGACATCTCCTTCGAGCACCACAATGCCGAAGCCAATTCTCAAGAACAAAAACGAAAACCACGTGCGCTTCGACCCGGAGCCGTACGAGGTTGACGCCCGAAGTCCCCGATCATATAGGGACGATCGCCATCGTGATCGTGACCATGATCATCATCGTGAGCGCCGGCGACAGAGCCCTACCAGATCATCGCGACGTTCGCGAAGATACTCTGACAGTGCAGATCGCCACTCGCGTAGCGATAGACATGGCGACTATTACTACGATAGCGGAAAGCGGTACTATCGCGAGAGAGATCGGGATCGTGACCGAGACCGAGACCGAGACCGTGAGCGGGATCGTGACAGAGATCGCGATAGGAGAAGCACCAGAAGGGAAGATCGCCCTCAAGGAAGAAAGAAATGGGGTGAAGCTCTTGGCGCTGTTGGCATTGGCGGTGCAGCAGTGAGCCTTTTGAGTGTCCTCGCTGAAGCAGCATCTTGATTTCAACGGGCTGGTTCCGTATCGAATTACCTATTCACTTCCCTTTGTCATTTCCTTATTATGACTTTGGTTCTGTACTGTGTTTTTGGATATGTAACAAAGCCAACTGTAAGATGGACTGGACCACAGAACAAGATGGGAACAGAGAAAACAAAGGAAAAGAGTATGGCATTTTTGTATACTTGGAACTTATGTATGTAGTTATACCACGGATGGCACGCATGTCTCCGACAGAGACTATCAGGAGACTATGGCAGGATTAGATACCCACGATAAGATGACTCCAGAATATAGCAGCTATGAATCAGATTTTGGTATTATTTGCCATTCTCGTTTACGTCAACTATCACGATCAACGAATGAATCCTGGTAGAGGAAGACAAACGATTTTTGACTCGCTACGCTAAGTCTATGATGCACGGCATCTAGATGACTATAGTCTAGATCTATAACCATTTCCTTACATCTACACCATTAATTCATCTTCTAATTTCTTCCACCATCCCCACTTATCCGTGTCTGTCCTCTCGGGTGCAGGTCCCTTCGCACGGGGTCTGGGCCTCGGTTTACGTCTCCATTCGAGGATCTTCATCTCATAGTCTCTGGGCCAGTTCTCTTTGCGCTCTTCGTAGGTTTCTGCCTCTTCAATCGCGCCCTTGCTCACCATCATCTGCGTTTCCACACCGCCCTTTAACTGAGGCAATGTTGTTCGTAAAGATGTAACCCATTTGAAGCGTGGCACCTCGACTGAGCGTTCCAGGCATACGTAGCCTTGGGAGGTGCGATATCGTATCTGATCGTGTAGAAACTCGCTGAATTCTGTGATGATATGTGGTATGGCAGTGGTTGCAAAGTTGCCCTTTCGCCGGCGACTGTCCTTGGAAGCGGTACTGAGGAGATTTTCCAGGCATTTTGCGATCTGGTACCAAGCGTGCTCCTTTTGTGTTTCAACTGTTCGGCGGCTGTGGCTGGGCTCCGAGGCTTCATGGAGAACGTCGTCAAACACGGTCTGTAGTTGCTGTTTCTCAAGCTGACGGTAATGAGGAACCGCATGGTCGCGTATCATGTCCAGTGCCGAACTGAAACTACGCTTAAATATAAGCGAATTGATGTAGATGATGTAGTTTTCGAACGAAGGCTCGACGTTGTAAGGTTCTGAAGTCATTGTGTCCCAAATCTCGGTAACCATTGACGGAGTCACGTTTGAAGAAGGAGGAAAGAAATACATGAACCGACGCTGACGCTGATTTGATTTGACTCCACAAACATAGGCCCAGTTGAGGAGATTACACCATGTTTCGCGTGGAATGGGTATTTGGTAGGCGTTAGAGACGTGGATGAGGAGCTGGCATGCCAGCCGAATACGCATCATGGACCCAAATGCTTCGACGATAGCATTCAGCAGATGCTCAGTGGGAGCTCGTGGATTGCCTGGACGAAACACCTTGAAACCATTGACAGTGAAGGTGCCGGTCTCTCTGT